ATCCACCTTGGTAGTTCAATGTATTTCCCTGCTCGTGTGGGGTTGTATTTGTCGTAGTGTATCCTTATCTTATATATGTTTTCTAGTGTATAACCTGACTTTTTTAACTGTGAGTTTTCAATTTTAATTTCAATGTCCGATGCCATATTATCAATGGTCTTTTTCAATTCCTCCTCATTAAAAACGGTGTATATCCTACTCGATATGATAAACATATCTATCTCTCCTTTCTCTGGATGTTTGAAATTACAATGTGCGTCAATCCTTATTTTAATGCTATTGTTTGCTTTTAAAAACTCCGTCAGTCTCGGTTTTTGGTAGTTCAAGACGCTTAAACCTTTGTATCCCTTCATGTTTATATTAGTAATTGAATAAGAATTGGCATAACCCTTGAAGGCACTATCAACTTCTGTTATTTTTAATTTTGATTTTAATGCGAATGTTTGTAATGCCTTCCTAACTTGAATACCTCTAGACGCTTTATTTAGTATGTTGAATTTTTTGTATTCGTTCGTTTTCGCTATTTGTTAAAGTTTCTGTTTCAATTTTCCTGTTATGGGTTTTTCTTTATTATAAGCGTATTCCACTCCATTTATTATAAACTTCTTGTATTCTTTGTTCCCCTGTGTTTTTATGTTGCCTTGACGACTATGTTTTAAATAGTCCAATACCCTAACTAATTCCCCGTTCTCCATATATATTAAGGTGTCTTTTCTATAAGTCATTTTTGGGTCTGGGTTGGGCGTTGGTGCGTCTGTTTTTGGGGTTTATTTTAAATCCTTAATCCCTTTTATTGTGTGTTTTAAAATGTCGATTGAAATTTTTATGTTGATTGTTATCGTTTTTATTTTTTGGTTTTATTTTCGTTGTTAGTTGCTAATGTTTTTAGTATGTTTTGTAGATTTTTAATTATATTGTGGTTGTGAAACGCAAAATCTTACTACAAAATATGTTGTATCTTGGTTTTTATGTTTCTTGAGCCGAAATCACTCTCTCGCTTCTTTCTTTAGGGTTTTAGGGTATAAAAAAAGACCTAAAAACCGAAAGTCCCCTAAACCTAAAGACCTAAAACCGAAAGTCCACCCTAAAACCGAAAGTCCACCCTAAAACCGAAAGTCTTAAAGAACTAAACCGAAAGACCCTGCGTGCCTTCATATAGACGAACTTGACGATGACTTCATAACCTTTGCGTGAGAGAAAAGAACACTTTATTAGAAGGGGTGGGTTTTAAGACAGTCCAGCAATCTTTCTCTTTTCAACCAAAAATGCGTTGCCGATCCATCACCGATACTGTGCGAAAACAGATGCCCAAGCAAGCATTATGTGCGCGAAGGGATGCCCTTTGGGGTATGTGAAAAATGCATATGGTGATGTGGTTGTGAGCATCTGTAAAGGAAAACCCCTTCTTTTTGGGTATGTGGATTTCGCATAGGTCTATGTGGTTTGGAGCATCATGTGGTAGAGAGGATGCTATGCGCAACATGCCTGTTGGAGCATCATGTGGTAGAGAGGATGCTATGCGCAACATGCCTGTTGAAGCATCTCTGGTGAGGATGGACTGCCGTGTCTGTCGCAGACAGCTCACTCCACCTTCATGGGGACAACTCCAGCGGAAGCAGACTTGCCCTCACGGATGCCGACAGCGATGTCCAAATCCTTGATGATGTCCTTCATCTTGATAGTGCCATCACGATTGCTGTAGTGTGCCAGCAACCCTTGGAAGACAACCTCACGCATGTGATTGGTCGCAAACTCAAGCTTGTCCATTACGAACTGCATTGCCTTGCACTCACGAGTGTAGTCCCCTGCCGTCATCAACTTGTTCTCAACCGTTGCTTTGTTGTGCTTGAAATAGTCACGGAACTCCACGAGCACATCCGTCGGCATGGAATTCACCATCTCGGAGATATTCACCGTCGTCATTGTCGTGGACTGCTTGGCAAAGTTGAAGGCGGCGCTGAAGCTCTCCATGTCCTTGTCATTGGTTGCGGTCGTGCATCGCTTCTTGAGGATTGCCATGCGTTTCACATTGGTCTTACCTCCTCCGCTTCCACGCACACGCACCGACACCGAGCTTCCATCGCACATTTTGTATCCAGCCAAGGTAGTCCTCGGAACATCCGTGATGTGCGTGTCTCCGTAGTAGAGCATCAAAGTGGCCTTCGCCTTGACCTTGCTCATCTTGAGAAGGCGAGCAACATCCTCACGGAGAGACCCTGCCGTGGAAGAAAGGGTAGTGGAAACAGTAGCGGTTGCACCTGTGGGAAGCTGGAGATTGATGACTATCTCTGCATCCTTTGCATCACGCTTCTCCTTCAACTTCTGCTCCTTCTCAGCCTTCTTCAATGCCTTTTTGGCATCACGCTTGGTCTTCGCATCCTTTTCCTTCAAGACCTTCTGGATGTAGTTGAACTTGGCGATTTGCTTGTTCAAATCCGGCTTTGTGGTATTGAGCCAATCCTTCAACTCCTTGTCGCTCTTCTGCTTGATGAACTCCATGAAGTCGGCGTCCAGAGAGGGCACATAGGTGATGATGCCAGCAGACGAAGATGCTTGCTCACCGCCATTGTCCGGCTCATTGTCGCTCCCATCACCATGAGACTTGTCCTGCTCGTCAGCACTCTTCTCAGCTTCCTCCCTTCCTCTTCACCGACCTCACTGTCAGAACCATCTGAGCCATTTGAGTCATCTGAGCTGACTGACACGTTTGAAGCCACTTGAGGCTCTTCCAACGAAATGCCCGCCACAGACTGCTCCACGGCTTCAATGGTTGTGTCGTTGAGGTCTGCCATCACTGTTGAAGGCAAGGACTGCTTGGGAGACATGACCAGCTAGAAGGAAGAAGCCGGTGATGACACAGAAAGGTTGAACGCTTGAATGCTTGAGCAGTGCTTTGGATACAACTTGACACTTTCACAATCCTAAATCACTTGATGAATGTGTCAGCTTGAAACACTCGCGTATTGCTCTGAGGTCGCGGCTTATTGATTGATGATGTTGAAGTCCAGCAAGTCATAACCAAAACAGACGCCCACCTAAAACCCAACAACAATAAAAAGCAAGAGACAAACAAAGGCAAGACTTAAAGAGAGAAGGGAGGAGAAAACGAGAGAGAGTAGAATAAACCGTAGAAAATAGAAAAGTAGTTAGATAAGAAAACGAGGACTTCAAGAGAAAAAGGACTAGGGAAAACGAAAGAGGAGGACAGAAGAACGAAACGAAGAAGGCGAAAGGGAGTGAGAAAAAGAGGAAAGGAGAAGAAAATAACGAGTGAGGGGGAGAAAACCGTAGAAAACGAAAGAGACAAAATTAGTGCAGAAAATACGAGAATAGAGAGGGAAAAACGAGAGAGGAAACGAGATTTAACTTTAAAAGACAGAAAACAGAAAACGAAACAGCAACCCATAACCCTAAAACCCCAGAATCCCCCTTTTACTAATTTTTTGGGTTTAGGGTTGTGCTACAAGTAGAGGGTGTATGTATGGCTTATGAGCTTTTTCAAACTTCAGGGTTCCGGCAGGGTAGCAGGGTGTAGGGATTTGGGTTTTGCGGCTGGTTTGGAAGGCAGCCGCTGCGCACCAGTATTGGTACTTGGCTTCATTTCCAACCTTTGGATGCTGTTAGGTTCGCTCCTGTAGTCGTTAGGCTGATAGGCTGAACACTGCGACCCTGTACGCTGCTGTTCTTCATGGCTACGAACAATGATCACGGAAACTAGGAAGTTATTGAAAATGAAGTTTTGCAGTGTAATGCTGGTCATACCACTGATACGTGCATGACTCCATAATTTACTGTTCGGGCTCTTCTTACTTCTTACCCTCATGAATCTCATGAGGTTTTTGAGGCTGGTTCCAAGCTTTGGGCCTCTCCTTCGTGTTCGCAGTTCGGGCTGCATCCGGAGGGATGCGCTTGTCCGAAATGAAAGGTGGCCCCAAAATGGCAAGAGATGTAGATCCCCGAACCCCAAGCCCTCCTTAAGCAGGTCTGCGGTTCGAGCAGAGTCTGGCAATTCTGCGGGAGAGCTGGAAGCCATTAACTCACCGTGAGACCTCGCCTGGCTTGTCCGAGTTGCGAGAGCGTAACACCTACACCTCAAACCCCTGGATCCCAAAGCTCTACCACTCCCAGCACTGCACCCTCAACGACACGCGAGAAGTTTCCGGGGGCTTGGGGCTTAGGGCTTCGGGCGAAACACGCAGCCCTGGCAAAGGCGAAGATTCGCAAATGCTGTGATGTTCCGAGCTTGGACGGGAAGTCTCAGCGATGTGGATTTTGAGGATGCAAGGGGCAAGTGTGATAGAGCTTTACACAGGTTGACTTACAGTATATACGGTTTGCTCTACAGAGGGCCCTCGGTAGGACGAGAGGCTTGAGCAAAAAGATGCATGGCTTGGGAGTCTTAGCTGAAGTGCCTGCAAGCTGCTGTGCGATGCCTGGCCTGGACATCGCATTACAGTTCCGTGGTCATATGCCGTCAGCATGGTGGCCACCGCCGCCCGGAGCCCTGCGTTCTGAGGACCCCACAATCAAGCAGAATTGCGAGAAGCTCCGCGACGTGATGCAGAAGGACGCAGAACCCCAACTCATCCTGGAACCCTCAATTGCATCGTGCATGCCATAGTCGCCATAGCCGGTACTTGCTGATATGTTGGGGGCACACCCCAACTCCTTCTATTGCGAATGCAGGGCCTTCCAGTAGACTTCTCACTAAACCGTGAGTTAGGCAAGTTCATCAAGCAAGTTTGAGTGGGGAAGCTGGATCCGAAGGGACTTCGTGTCATTTGGGGCTTGGGAATGTCTTCAAACAGGCGGCCCTTCATGCTGATGCTATACATCCCCAAGACCTGCTTGATTCGAAGGGACCCCGAGTTCTGCCACACGTTGCAGGAAGATGGAGTCGGCACGACCGTCCAGTTCCTGGAGGGATTCATGAAGGAGGCGTGCTGTTTGTGGTGGCCGACGACAAATCCATCAAGACATGAACGTGTGCGGGCAGTAGCTCATGAGGCCTAATCTCACAATAATGCTTTGAGCTAGCGCATCCTGCACAGGTCGAGAGCGGCGTCTGGAAGAAGAAGCAGGATGCACTCTTCAAAAGGCCATGGTGGGCCAGTTTGAACCTTGCAAAGCCACCCAAGACACATATCAGTAAACGATGTATATTTATTTATAGATATAGACGCTCGTTCCTGCTGCTTTCACGGAACCTTGCTTCAATTGTAAACGCTTCGTGTCGTCCGCCTGGGAACGGCGGCAAGTGAGAGCCTTGCTCGGCTGTTTTGCACAGGCTGTGTGTGGAGGGAGGGGAGGGGCGACCGCGATTTGTTTCTGTTCACCGGCCTGTGAATGGGTCCAGAGGAACGATGATGGGGAGACAAGGTGGCGGGTAGGGGACGCAGGAGATTTCTGCAAGGAAGCGTAAACCTTTTGGGCCGGAGCCGAGGCGAAGTAGTACGGAGATGTAACCCTAACCCCCCCCAGGTACCTACTTTTTAGGGCTCCAGGGACTCTAGGGGCTCTCGTACCCTCTATAGTCGGTACAAGGGGGGGTAAGGACCCTCGATGCACCGGAGGTGCTTAGATGCCTGGGAGAAGCAAAAGAAGCTCCCGGACGCCAGCAAGGCCGGGCTTCTTGGGGCTAGGGTTTGGGGTTTACGCGAAGCTGTCTTTACCAGGCTTTTCAGGGTAGTATAGAGCATACGATGAGAGTTCCTGCACGGATACTATTTGGGTTAGGGTTTAGGCTTCCAGGTTTGGGAGTTGAAGCTTCTTGAGCTTCTTGATGTCCAGCTTTAGATGTTTGTTAGGTCTGCAGGTGCCTTGGGCTTGGAGGCTTGGCGGGAAGAATTAGGATTTTGTGCTTAGGGCCCACAGGGCTTGTTATGGCTTCTACTGCGAATGTTGGCGTCCTGCTTGGCCTGGGCGAAATGTATGATATGTTCAGGGCGCAGGGATCTGGATTCCGAGGTTTAGCTTCCGAATAACAAGTTTTGGGGCCTGACTACGTCGAAGATCTTTGCATCGGAGCATAGCAGATTAGATCTTAGACTTACACAGGAGTTCTGTGGGAAGCATGTCATTGGTTCTTGAGATCCGATTTCAGAATTCTTGTCGACAGTTCCTGCTGTGGCGATGACAGGATTGCCTCACGGGTAGTCGGCATGCATGCAGACTCGTGCTCTCGATGCTGCCACAGTCGAGACGATCTTACATGGCCTAGACGTGCGTGACAGGAGCATGGGCTTGTAGATGACACCCTAAACCCCAAACCCTAAACCCCAAGCCCTAAACCCTAAACCCATACACCCTCTGGTTATCAAATAAATAGATTTGTGAAGATAGCCAGTCCTGGCGGAGCTCCTCTGCTTCGGACAAGGAGAGAAGCAGCTGGGCAAACCAAACCACATACTATAAGGGTCTTAATGATTAGAAGGGGTTTTAGGGCCTCTTATTATACTTATAGTATAGTAGACCCAAAACCCTACTTTTATTTGATTAAGAAGGCCCCTATATTACATCTTCGGATTTAGCAGTCGGGCTAAGCGGGGATAAGAATCTGCGATTGAGTACCCAAATCCTCGAGGCCAGGTCAAGCTGAACGGGTGTGCCACAAGTAAGGAACGTCACTGCTCTACTCCTGCCCAGTTAATGGCCAAGTGGAACATGGACCTGGCAGACAAGTACCAGCCTCTCCAGGACTTGTGGGGTCGATCTACCAGATGCCGGTGTCTAGAAAGGAATCGTCAGGAAGGAAACGTCTGAGCGTTGAGGAGCCATGTTCGCTAATCCGAAGTAGCATGCAGGTGCAAGGCGAGCCATGTTTCATCTTCATAACAGTGCTGCATCGCCTCGATTCTGAAAACCGCGATTTCATGCCCGAAGACAAACGGCAAAAAACGATTTGTTCCAGGGGTTGGAGGGCTTAAGGCTTACGATTTCGTGTGGTGGCGGACGACTTGGGTTCGGGTCTCGGCTTTCGATGGTTGTCGAGACGATTGGCCCGCTAGTCTGTATGTATATCAACAAAGGCACCGCATGTGCGCAGGGTGTTGGGTGTCCATTGCCCACCATTGGCGTCGTGTGGAAGCCCCATACACCCGAAAGCTCTTTCCCTTCCAGGACTACACAAACCAGCAGGTTAATTTGTTCGGGAAGATGGTGGAGCTCTTCAACAAGAAGAAGCTCTGGTGCCTTGAAAAGGAGGGAACTGTAAGTTTTCCTCCTGACAGGCTTACAGGTGTGCCTTCGCTTCTTCGCGGGAAGATAGAAGATTTTTGTATATGTACATACTATATATATATATATATTTATTTATTTATTTAAAAAATATTTATCGCTTTAAGAATTCGTGTATATGTAGAGATGTGTGCACAACCGCATAACATGCACACCTGTACACGTGGGCATGCACAGGCTGTGCCTGCAAACATTTAAGCACGCAAATGCTTGTGTGCATATTCGCATATATATACACACGACTTGCACAGGCATGATTAGACTGCCTGGTAGGTACACTTGTGCTGCGAGCGGCTCTTCTTGCTCCGTTTCAATAAACCCAAAACCAACCCTGAACCCTAAACTCCTACACCCTAAAAGTAACCTCAAACCAAACCAACTTCAACCTGAAGCCAACCAACTCAGAGCTAAACCGACTCTACCACCCTGCATTGCGATTTAGTCCTGGCCAGGCAAGGCGACACATATAAGTAGGCGTAAAAATATTGACACCAACTATAAAAGCCCCCGCTGCCCGAAACCCTAAGCCTTGAACCCTAAACCCTATACCATCCCCTCTTGTATCTGCCAGGTGGGTGAAATCGACACAGGGCTGCCTCGCCAGGAAAGGGGAGGCGGGGACGATGCAGGTGACATACTATGACTATGGCTCTTCTGGGTTTTTGTTCTAGAAACCGCCAAGCCCTTATTAAAATTTACTATTGCTAGTCTGGTTTTTGCAATAGAAACCCCAAAGCCCTTAGTAAAATCATTATGATTTCTTCTGTTCTTATTGAATCATGACGATTGGTTTGTCAATCCTTTCTTGCAGAAGGGGCCAGGCCCGAGGAGGATGATTTCGAAGGTCGAGTTGAGCCCTCATCCTCGAGGAGCTTTCTCTGTAAGCCCCCAGCCGGGCAAGGTGCCAGGTTTAGGGGTTTTAGGGATTTAGGGATTTAGGGCTTAGGGATTTAGGGTTTAGGGTTTAGGGTTTAGGGTTTAAGGATTTAGGGTTGGGGGTTTTAATGGTTTAGGGTTTATGGTTCAGGGGTTTGGGGTTTAGGGTTTTGGGGTTGAGGAGTTTAG